TTTGTAAAAATGTCTTCGAAGGAGCATGAAGAATAGGTATCATCAAGTGAGGGATCCATAAACTCCATGCCTTTACCTTCTTTCCACAACTCAAATGCCTGAAATAAAATAATTAAAATCATCCATTTTTGTAGTGCAAATTGAGAGATTCAATTTCCAGTATCCGTGGTTTCAAGATAACTTACATATTCTTGAAGGTTTAAGCTTTCGTGGGGGCCATGTAAACGATTACTTCTCTTTCCACTTATGATTTGTAAAAGTAAAACTCCAAAGCTATACACATCAGATTTTGTGGAGTATATACCTTGGTATACATATTCAGGAGGAAGATAACCACTGCATTGCAAGGGTGAGCAAAAAAGAAATATTAGTTCTAACAATTCAACATGATTGACATATAGTTTTGAGAAATATTTCACTTACAGGGTTCCAGCAATCCGATCAGTATTTGCTTCAAATTTATCTTTTTGGAAAATCCTTGCCATTCCAAAATCTGCAATCTTGGCCTTCATCTCATTGTCCAACAAAATGTTGCTCGCTTTCAAGTCCCTATGAATTATTGTTAATCGCGAGTATTCTTGGAGGTATAATAGCCCTTGAGTAATTCCTTCAATGATTTGAACTCGTTTTTCCCAATCTAAAAGTGTGCACCTAATTGGATCTATAAGAAAATCTTGAGTTAAAAGTAATCAAAACAATTAAGGAACAGAATACTAAGCGATGTTGTAATGTCAAAACCTACAAAAGAGCTTCGCTACTTTCAAATTTGGTAGGCGTTTGGCACCACAAGAAAGTCTTTAATATAGCCATACCATCAGTAGTACACACCTCATGTTAGAGCTAGGATCCATAATTATTCATACTTGTTATTAGAAGGAATAAAGATGCTAACCATAGATGTAGTAATCCAAACTTTTGTTAGGCATGTACTCATAAATGAGCATTTGTTCTTCTCTTTTAGTGCAATATCCCAAAACTCTTAAAAGATTTACGTGTTGCAATTTCGCAGCAACCATAACCTCATTCTCAAACTCTTCAAATCCTTGTGTAGAAGTTTTTGCAAGTCTCTTTACTGCGATTTCTTGTCCATTTTGTAAGTTACCCTGAAAAAGCAAATACTATTAATTGGTATTTTTCACCACATATAAGAGAACATGTCCAGCTATATCTCAAATTTTCCATATTTTATGTTCAATTTCTTTTACACTTCACATTGTGAACGTGATTTCTTGCTAATTAACGATAATAATAATCACACAAACAGAGTCATCTATATGGATTCTTAGTCATTTCAACCATATAAATGCGTCTAAATAATTATTCAAATCCTAGTCTATATTACCTTGTAAACAGGTCCATATCCACCCTCTCCGAGCTTATTTTCATTTGAAAAATTATTAGTAGCCACTACAATGTCTGTGAAACTAAACACTTGAGGAACATTAGTATTTTCAATAGATGCCATAGTAGTTCTTAATTTGGACTGTGATTCTTTCTGTTCATCCGCTAATCCTGTAAACATAACGAACATTCACAAAATTAATAGGAAAAAAAATGAAAATGGAACATGCAAATTTTCCCATGCCATAGTTATATATAAATGTTAAATTCTCATATCAAGAGGAAGTTACCTATACATCCAAGAACTCTCTTTCGCAGATACCACATTGTAGAACTCAGTATGAGAATAATTATGGCTGTTGCTGTAAGCAAGATGACTAACAACAAGCGTCCCTTGCTAGTAATGGTAATTTTCTTGTCTTCCTGTGCTGTAAACATTTTTATGAAACATGTAGAAATGTGAGATGCAAGGGAAACGTACAAGAAAGCAAGATCGTGAAACAAAGATAAACACAAATGCAAACACTCAATGACGAGAACTCTTCTTTGAAATTTTGTTGCAGTCAATCAAAACATTGCTTTAACCTAAGGTTACATTCATCTATATAAAATAATTTTAAGTAGGAAATCTATACTATATTTTAAGGAAAATAGGATTTTTAATGAGAAGGGATGTGAGAGCTCCATACACTCAATTTTAATTTCTTATTTTTTCAATTTAAATCAAATATAGAAAATTTATATGCCTCACATAATTTGGGAATTAAAAAATTAAATATAAAAATAAAAAAAATCTCCAAATCCATCTTTTAAGATCATTGGAAAATTCTGTTTCGACACATTTACATACCTCAGTACACATCATTTCTTAGTGCGCATACTTATTAATTTGATGTTTGGTTATTCTTCTCATTTCACACACTTGATGGTCAAATTATACCTTAACTCTTATCCTTATACACACACCACCGAAACCCTCCTTCCACACACCTTTATTCCTTTATGGTGTGTTTGGTTGAGGGATTTGGGGAGGGATTTGGAAAGAGAAAGGGAAAAGGTGTGTGAAACTATGTGAAATGTGAATAAAATATGTATATATTTCACATAATTTCACACACCTTTTCCCTTTCTCTTTTCAAATTCCTCCCCAAATTCCCTAACCAAACACACCATTAACAAATATATATTTTGATCTATTTTTTGTTCTTATAACTGGTTTGTTTATTTATTTAAAAAATTTTCTTTTGTGCAATTAATTAGGAACTTTGTGATGTTTAATTAATACATGTTGGAGAAGAGTGAAGAAAAAAAAAAGAAAAAAGAGAGGAGAAAATAGAGAGATAATCGAGTAGAGAGAGAGAGAGAAATTACATATATGACCAGTTCACCATCACACCAATCCACCTCAAAAAATATATCTCACTGTTTATACAATTTGTCAAACATTTGGCATGCACTAAACATTTAGTTATATTTAGGCCAAGTTTGGCATGTCTTAAAAAAGATAAAAAGTCAAAAAGTCACTATCCTATTTAAGTCACATCATCTTATTTAAGTCACATCACCTCTCTAACCTATCACTTAACCTAATCCAAACCCAACTCATATTTCATAAAAAGTCAAAAAGTACACTTATTTAGATCATTCCAAACAATCCCTTAGTACAAAGCCAAACAGAGCTTTTCAAACCTAATAGGAGGTAATTTATGTCTTTGACATAAACATCAAATTCACGTGGCCCTTTTTGCTTGACGTTGTTGAATTCGATTAATTGAAGTTTCAATTGGAAGGGGAACAGAGGATGGGGTGTTAAAAGGATTTGGGTTTTGCAAAGGGATTGAAGGATTTGGGTTTTGCTCAAAAAATGTGCGTCGAGATTTTTTTGTTTTAAAAAAATGTGTATTGAAATTTTTTTGATATAATATTAAGGGTATATTTTGATGACCATTATAGTAATTTTGTTTTAAGGTACAATTGTTATTAAAATAATATTTCATTAAGTGTGTGAATAGAGATAAATAAGTGTGTGGAAATAAAATTTCCTAAGATCATTGCCTAAAAGATGATCCTTTCTTAAAATCAAATATAGAAATATGGTTTGTTGACCTTCTAATTTATTTGCCCATCTTCTAAAATCTCTATCTAAAATCCTTTATTTTTTTAAAATAAATTAAACAACAATCAATTCAAATATGTTAAAATTTTTTTTTTGTTTGGTTGATTTTGTTTCCAAATAACTAATTTGAATTTTTTCAATTTAAAAAAATAATAAACTATTCATATGTCTCACATAATTTTTGAATTAAAAATAAATAAATAATCATCAAACCCATCTCCTAAGATTATTGCCTAAAAGATTATCATTTCCTAAAATCAAATATAAAAACACGATTTGTTAACCTTTCAATTTATTTGTCCATCTAAAATTTTACCTAAAATCCTTCATTCCTTAAAATAAATTAAACAAAAATCCATTCAAATATGTTTAAATTGTTTTGTTTAATTGATTTTGTCCTTATAATTAATTTGGAAAACTAATTTGGTTGTTTCCCTATAAATAAATTAAATAAACTGTTTTGGTTGTTTCCCACACTAAATTTGTAAATTTTTTAGTTTAAAAAATAATTTAAAAATTAAAAAAAAAAATCATGATTTATGATTTAGAAAAAGAAAGATGAAGAAAATCATTTTTATGCACTCATGTACTTGATTTGGTATCATTTTTCATGACATTTCAGAGCTTATAGCATGCTTATATTCCTACTTCTTTCATGCTTTAAATGCCTTCGAGTGTTGTGCATTGTTGTCTTACTTATAACCTAGCATGTATGCCATCTTACTTAGGTATTTGAGCCTCCATCTTAGCATGTTTTGGTCATTGTTTTGACCTATTTCAGCTCTGTCCATGATTGGTTCACGCATTTGTGCCATGTATTGCATGCCTTCTTTGTAGTCCTCTTTATTAGCTTTCATGCTTTAGGACCTTTGCTTGCTATACTTGTGTTTGATTGAATGATTTGGCATCATTTCTTACTTAAGTTCAATGCATTTAGTGTTGTTACACTTCCGCATTTATCACTCCTTGAGCCTTCTTGAGGGTTGTGCTCTTAAGCCTACTTGGTTGGCCAATGCATTGTGCATGCATGCTTTGTGTTTTGTGCCTTTATTTCGGTGTTATGGCCACTGATTTGGGCATGGCTGAGGTCTGTCCATTTTGGTTTAAGTCCATTGAGCATTGTGTATGCCATGTTACATCGCATCGTGCATGTTATGTTATTGTTTGCATTATGCGTGCCATGTTCTTGATTCGCATTGTATATGCCATGATCATATTGCATTGACTATGCCATGATAGTCATTGCATTGAGTATGCCATATTGTTCATTGCATTTGTGTACGCTATGTTCATTTGCATTGTGCATGCTAGTTATTGTTCATATTGTTGCATGCTTATGTTGTCTTGCATTGAATATGCATGCCTTAGCATAATGCATTGTGCATGCCATTAGCCTTGTTACGTTGTTCATGTTGCATTGCGTGTTTGCATGCTTGTCCCTTGCATGTTGTTCATATGCTTGTTTCATTGTATTGCATGTTGGCATGCTCGAGTCGCATTGTGTATGCCATGTTATGTGTTGCATTGTTGATTGGAATAGGTGTTAGTCTAAACACGAGAAACGAGAGACGTTTCATACTTAAAGTGATGAAACGTGCCTCAATTCTTGGTCGCCGACTGCTCTTGATCATGCATGATAGAGTTTTAAGCCTTATGTGTTTACTTGTGCATTCATTTTCATATTGAATTGTGCAACTTCGCCTCTCGGCCATCATGCATTGAAATGCGCGATTGGTGGCCCGAGGGTCGAGAATCGCACTCCTTTAAGTTCATGACATGATAGGAAGGGTGGTTGTGCACACATATCTTGCAAATACATTGCCATGCCCTTTCTTGCTCTCTGTTGCAGCAAATTGGAATTCAGCAGCAACAACTGGTCGGCCGACCAGTATTACCAGCTGGCCGACCACTTTTCTGGTTTTTCAGCACAGAAAGTGGTCGGCAGATGGTCTTCTTCCTCAACAACTGGTCGGCAGCCCTCCCACAGGTCCCTAAGATGTGTCAGAAGCTATCTGGAGCTTGGTGCAAGTTTCTGAGAGCAGTTGCAAACAGAGGCAAATCGGGGCATCGCGTTGGATTTCCGAACGGAGCAACCAGGCATGCATGAACTCTTCTCCCTCAGAGGACATTGCTTTATTGCTTTCCTTAGCTGCTTTACTTAGCTAATGTACTTAGCTAGTTCATGCTTTGGTTTTGTAATTAAGTAGTTAATGCGGTTAGCTGCTTATCTGTTTTGTAATAGTTAGTTAACTAGGATTAGTTAATTAGCTTCGTTGTGATGTAATAATTAGTTTAATTAGCTTAAATTAGCTAGTTAGCTCTTTATTCGGTCCCTCCCTCGAGAGGGCACATTGTTGTAATAAGTGTGTGTGTGTGTGATGCATGTCTTCTAACCCCCATTTCTTTCTCCCTTTTACTTAACCACTTACGATGGTTAGTTTTAGGGCATGTTTCAATTAGCATACCTTATGCTTGCATGCGTACGTCCATTCATCTGTTTTGCATGCACCGGGCTCGGCACATCATACAAACCAGCATTGTATTTTCAATACACTTACTTGAATACGTGTTCAATAACATGTTATCAAGTTGCATTTCACATGACATTCTAGGTAGCCGAGCCTATGTTAACTGCATTTTGCATGTGTTGCATTAGCCATCTTATCATGAACTAAAATCATGCACGATTTCTAACTAGTTCTTTGTTTTGGCTCGGAGTACATTGTGAGTGTTTATGCTTTAGCATACGGCATGTGTGTTATTGACTGCTATAAAAGCATGCTTGCCATGAGGCTAACTGCTTAGTTGATATAACTGCCTGAATGCCTGTGGGTGAAAGTTGGATTACTTGAATTGGAACAATTCATCGAAACATGATTTAGCCTACTTGCGAGTAGCAAACTTCAAATCATTTTTACAAACGAACATGCAATGTTTTGTTCCAAATTAGGCGATCTAGTCTATACTTGTATGCTGTGCGCATCACGTAGTAAGATTAGCTAATTAACCGGAATAAGAGCACATGTGTTTTCAAAAACAAAATATCATACTTAGTACAGGCCGATCTTTGATCAGACGAGAGGAGGTGCTCATTTCATGACCTTCCCCTGTCGTACCCAAGTTCCCGAGCTGAGGCAACTTTGGTGATGACGGACACGTGGCCTTAGGCACGAGTCAGGGTTTCCTAAATTCGCCCAAAATAAAATATTTAGGTGGCGATTCTGTATCTGGCAAAGCAGTCTATGTTTGGTACTTCTTTATTAAAATCAGTTTTTCAAAATGATTTGCCAGATTTGGACTCTTTGGTGATTTATCAGTCTTACATTACACATTGTAAGATTAGATTCAGAACCGTGACATGAGTCCGAACTGTAGTAGCTCAGAACAAAATGAGATCTACGCCCCCCGCGAGCGCGGATATCGGAGGGTTCCCGGGAGCGCGTCTACAGCCCCCTTAGCAGTTCGGCCTCTGTGAAACTTGCCATCGAGCGCACAGTCGTGTCCTCCATTACCCCCCAACAACCGATCTGCAATAGTCCTGGCTTCACCTTCTTCTCCCTCCAGTCGCCCGGACATTGCTGGAGCGTGGTAAATGGTAGTCTTCAACCTGTCCCTCTTTCCTTCTCCTTGGGATACAGGACCCCCCTTGGGCTGTTGCTCTGCCCCCTGCTCAGGGCCAGCCGCCTCACCTTCCACTTGTGTTTCGGGGCCCAGGGCACTCTCTATCCCCTTCGCTGTTCCCTCTAACTTCACTTTGGGGGTCCCCTCTGCCATCTCCTCCTTCATTTTTTTCAATGCTGGCCCCTCCTCACCCTTGTTCACCTTCTTCTTCTTCTTCTTCCTCTTCAATACAGCCTCCACTTCTTGTTGCTTCTTTCTTTCAATGGATCCACTGGGGGTGGTCGTGGCTCAAAACTGCCCAAGTCCTTTTCCCCTAGTGGCTTGGGGCGCGGTCGGATTCTTTCCCTCGTGATTGGTTTTGGCGGACGGCCTAATTGTGCATCTTTGTATTTATCAGCCTTAGCAAAAATCGTCCTATCCTCCGCCTTCTGTGCCCTCCTTCTCATCTCTAATTCTGCTAGTGCAAGGTCCTCACCGATTGACTGCAGTCCTAGCCCCGAGGCAAATAAGGCTGAGGGTTGAACGAGGTCGTCCAGCTTGGCGCCCTCCTTCTCCCTCCATGCCTTCACCTTCTTCACCCTCTTCTCTGCCTCCGCCTCCAACCTTGGCTCCACTGACTTGGTTGGCACCCTCCATACTGTGCGCACTTTCATTCCCCCATTGGCTGACACGTAAAACCACCGTGGCTTCCACCCCTTCACCGACGATGGTAATCCTGCCACCAAACCTTTCCCGGGCGCCGCCTGTAGAGTGACCCAAGTCTCTTGCTGGCCCGACGCCTTGTAGCATGCAAAAAACTCATCCACCTTCATTGTAGCTCCGTCGTTCGCCCGCAGCCACGCACTTACTCAAGCCAATAAAATCTTCCACGCGTTGGGCATCAATTGACCCGGAGCCACCTCCAACCGACCCAGCACGTCCACTACTATCCGGGGGAGTGGCAACGTCAACCCCCCCTTTAACGCTTCTTCGTAGAGGGCAAACTCCCCCGGTCGAGCATCGGATGGCCTCTCCTTTGATGTCGGCAGTTTTAACTCTATTTTCGCGGGAATCTGATACTTCTCGCACATGTCCTCCAACTCCTCCGCGGTAAAGGTCGATTTGTCGGCCTTCGTGTGCCAGTGATCTGGCTCTACCTGACTGATCGGCTTTGTAGCCGCTATCAGCGTGGACGAGCGGGGTTGCCCTGCCGGCTCCCCCCACTGCTTGCTCGCTTCTTCGTTCTGTATTGCTCGCCAGGTCCACCGCGTCGTCGTCCCCCAACGCATCTAGTCTCATGGTGGGCACATCCTCTCGAGCCATCTTTCTGGTATGCCTGCATATGGCTTCAAACGCTGGTACAAAGTAGTTCGCAAAATATTGCAAAAGTGTTTCACTCGACACAAAAGAGTTTACTTTTGGAACATTTTGGTTTTTTGAAAAAAGATAGGTAAAGAGGATAACACCAAAAGCCCAAGGCTTGCATGTATTCCAAGGGTCACGATTAAATTTTGCCAGTTTGAAAATTTTCAAAAATCTGCCAAAACTGCCTTTTCAATGCCCTATGTTAACCTACCCCTTCGTTTCTTGCCCAATGCCTAACCTCCCCCATTACGGGATTCCGCCACGTATAGGACCACGATGCACTGCCCTCTTCCCCTACCCTGTCTTTTCCACTTCAAATCACCATGTGCCCTGCCACGCCTCGAGCCTCGTGTACCGCCACTTCTCCCTCCACTCGGTCACCCTTCGTCGTCGGTCCTCCTCACGGTCGATCCCTCCACTCGGTCACCTTTCGCGGTCGGCCCTCCTCACGGTTGGCCCCTCCACTAGGTTACCTCTCGCCGTCGGCCCACCTCTCGGTCGGTCTTCGCCTCGCCGGTATCTTACAAGCCTCGTTTTCTTTATTATTCCCTTCGTTGGACTAAAGCTGCACTTGAGAATGGGGGACTACTGACATGGGTAAGCCCATAAAGGATATAGCCCACCACCTAAGGTCCAATCCATGATTCAAAAACTAAAGCCCAACACTTGTTAAACCCAGCATTGCACCAAACACCAATGACATCTAAACACTTGGCAAGTAGAGAATCACCCACATCAGCAGACAAAGATCCTGCAAAGTTATTACACCACACATCAGCCATTGATGAGCTTTCCTGTAGCATTTATTGCGATAACTCTTCCTGTAGCCATTGATTCCGAATTTCCTCAAGGATCAAATCAAATCTAGAGAGATGAGCTGATAAGAATGGAGAATTGAGAGGTTGGGGGGGTTGTTAGGACAGAGAAGCGAGGCTTGAGGCGGAAAGAAGGAAGCTTTTTCCACCATGTGTGTCTAAGCCTGAATTCCAATGCCATGAGATGAGATGAGATGCGATGCGATGTTTTGAATTTAAAGAAAATGTTATTTTCTTCTTGTTTCAAAAATAGAATTCCCACAAAAAAAAAAAACAACTAAAAATAGAAATTGAATTATTAATTCAATGATAAATTCTTTTTCATTAAGAATGGCTAGAACATATTAGCTTTTATATTTCATATTTCCTTGGCCTTTCCTATTGTTGTAATATTTTATGAACTTCCTACGAACTCATTTGTGTTATAACTTCCTAGGAACTCATTTGTGTTGGATAAATAAAATTTCGTTTTGCTAAAAAAAAAAGAAGAGATAAAAACTCAAAAGTAAAAATCGATTTCCCATTTCCTTATCACTATATAACATGAATTATATAATTCAGAAATCTCCTATGTTTGGAACTAAATTGATTGGATCATTCATTCATTTGTGAAGAAGAAGAAAACATTTAGAATAAATCAAGAGTAATGCTAAATTTTATGAAAGAAATATCAGCATAAGTTTCATTAAATTTTTAGAAATAATCTAATGTGATAGGTAACAAAACAAGAAAAGTAGCTTACAAATATTTTTATCAGCAAAAAGGAATTTTATTGATGAAATCAACACACAATACATATGAAATTATATCAATAAAGGGGAAGACTAGAGCAAAAATATAACTACATTTATCCAAATTACAAAGATATGGCTAACTAATGCAAAACCTTAATTTGTCGTAGTGTATACAAAAAGAATCATTGAGGGATAGTCAAATCTTTATCGAGCTACAATTTGAGTAATAGAGGCATTATCAACCGACCAAATTTCACGTCTTGATGCATGTACTTTTTCTTCATCTTCATCTCTTCTTGTAGAAAAAGCAGGCCGTTTAGGAATGTCTATGGATGTAGTTTCATTTTTGAGCATTGATGAGAGTTCCAACATAGGCGGCCTATCTACTGGATTTTCTTGGACACATAACAAAGCTATTTGCATGCATCTCATCAACTTACATGAAGAATAGGTATCATCAAGTGAGGGATCCATAAACTCCATGCCTTTACCTTCTTTCCACAACTCAAATGCCTGAAATAAAATAATTAAAATCATCCATTTTTGTAGTGCAAATTGAGAGATTCAATTTGCAGTATCCATGGTTTCAAGATAACTTACATATTCTTGAAGGTTTAAGCTTTCGTGGGGGCCATGTAAACGATTACTTCTCTTTCCACTTATGATTTGTAAAAGTAAAACTCCAAAGCTATACACATCAGATTTTGTGGAGTATATACCTTGGTATACATATTCAGGAGGAAGATAACCACTGCATTGCAAGGGTGAGCAAAAAAGAAATATTAGTTCTAACAATTCAACATGATTGACATATAGTTTTGAGAAATATTTCACTTACAGGGTTCCAGCAATCCGATCAGTATTTGCTTCAAATTTATCTTTTTGGAAAATCCTTGCCATTCCAAAATCTGCAATCTTGGCCTTCATCTCATTGTCCAGCAAAATGTTGCTCGCTTTCAAGTCCCTATGAATTATTGTTAATCGCGAGTATTCTTGGAGGTATAATAGCCCTTGAGTAATTCCTTCAATGATTTGAACTCGTTTTTCCCAATCTAAAAGTGTGCACCTAATTGGATCTATAAGAAAATCTTGAGTTAAAAGTAATCAAAACAATTAAGGAACAGAATACTAAGCGATGTTGTAATGTCAAAACCTACAAAAGAGCTTCGCTACTTTCAAATTTGGTAGGTGTTTGGCACCACAAGAAAGTCTTTAGTATAGCCATACCACCAGTAGTACACACCTCATATTAGAGCTAGGATCCATAATTATTCATACTTGTTATTAGAAGGAATAATGATGCTAACCATAGATGTAGTTATCCAAACTTTTGTTAGGCATGTACTCATAAATGAGCATTTGTTCTTCTCTTTCAGTGCAATATCCCAAAACCCTTAAAAGATTTACGTGTTGCAATTTCGCAGCAACCATAACCTCATTCTCAAACTCTTCAAATCCTTGTGTAGAAGTCTTTGCAAGTCTCTTTACTGCGATTTCTTGTCCATTTTGTAAGTCACCCTGAAAAAGCAAATACTATTAATTGGTATTTTTCACCACATATAAGAGAACATGTCCAGCTGTATCTCAAATTTTCCATATTATATGTTCAATTTCTTTTACACTTCACATTGTGAACTTGATTTCTTGCTAATTAACGATAATAATAATCACACAAACTGAGTCATCTATATGGATTCTTAGTCATTTCAACCATATAAATGCATCTAAAAAATTATTCAAATCCTAGTCTATATTACCTTGTAAACAGATCCATATCCACCCTCTCCGAGCTTATTTTCATTTGAAAAATTATTAGTAGCCACTACAATGTCTGTGAAACTAAACACTTGAGGAACATTAGTATTTTCAATAGATGCCATAGTAGTTCTTAATTTGGACTGTGATTCTTTCTGTTCATCCGCTAATCCTGTAAACATAACGAACATTCACAAAATTAATAGGAAAAAAAATGAAAATGGAACATGCAAATTTTCCCATGCGATAGTTATATATAAATGTTAAATTCTCATATCAAGAGGAAGTTACCTATACATCCAAGAACTCTCTTTCGCAGATACCACATTGTAGAACTCAGTATGAGAATAATTATGGCTGTTGCTGTAAGCAAGATGACTAACAACAAGCGTCCCTTCTTATTAATGGTAATTTTCTTGTCTTCCTGTGCTGTAAACATTTTTATGAGACATGTAGAAATGTGAGATGCAAGGGAAACGTACAAGAAAGCAAGATCGTGAAACAAAGATAAACACAAATGCAAACACTCAGGTGCCGTTTGGTAACACTTACGTTTTCAGTTTTCTATTTATATTTACAAAAATTTTAAAAACTGAAATAAAAACTTGTTTGGTAAAATTTTTGATTTATAAATCAGTGATCTCAGTTTATAAATTTGGCCAAAAAATGAAAACACAAAAAATGTGTTTCCATTTTGAGTTTTCAGTTTTTTTTTTTACCACCCAACACTAGCCACCACCCGCCACCAGTTTCCACCACCGTCTTCCGCCGCCACCACCACCCCCCACCCATCTGCCACCACTAGCCACCACCACCCACTAGCCACCCACTCGCCACCACGACGCATCCCTCGCCACCACCACACATGCAAAAATGT